CTGGTGCAAAGTGATCAGCATCAGCCAAGCCATGTGGCCTTTGTGATATTTGCACATGCTTCAAGCGTTGGCTGCCTAAATCTGTAAGAACAGTCACTGTGAATGCTGTCACCCCAGGAGAAGCAGTTTCTGGCTGAGAGAGGGTTATATGTCATTGTCGCCTCCAGGGGGAAATTTTGGGCTCCATTCTGGGCATCTCCAATGGGATACGGAGAAACAGCTTGACCTGTAGCACCTGTACTGGCTTGACTTCTTGTCAACATGTCTTGGAAATAGAGACCACAGTAAATGCGACCTGACTTCATTGAAATCTTTTTCCCCACTTGGTTTTTTTCTAGTTGTGTGTGTGTATGTTGTTATTTTATTTTTAAGATACGTCTATATAGCCCAGACTCAACTTGATCTCATGATCCTCCTGTCTCAGCCTCCTGTGGGCTGAGGTTACAGACCCACACCACTGTGCTCCATGCAATAATTTTTTATTCGAAAGTAACAAGCATCAAAATCCCCATGACTGGGAGGCTGCAGGAAAATTCCATGCCAGTCCCATTAGCCATCCAAACTTATGAGGGTAGGAAGTTCTTTTGTGCCTACTATTTGTGGCTTTCTTTGCTCCTGAGATGAGGGTTGCTGGACTGAGAGTTCTCAAGAGGCCTGGGCCCTTAGACAAAACCAGAGCATAGTAAAGTAACTCCAGCTCATGTGTGGCTTTAGTATTGTTTGTCTGTCTGTCTATTCATCCATCTATTTGTGGTGGTACTGGGGTTTAAACTCAAGGCCTTGCTCTATCTAGGCTGGGACTCTCTCACTTGAGCCATGCCCTGACCTTTTTTGATTTAGTTAGTTTGGAGTAGTCTTGCATTTTCCTCCAGCCATCCTGGACCAGAATCCTATGAACATCTCCCAAGTAGTTAAGATGACAGGTGTGCAGTACCACGCCTAGCCTCCTTGACTGACACAAGGTCTCGTTAACTCTTTATACAGACTGGACTTTAACCACAACTGTTACATTTGCCCCTCATACCCCATAGCTGGGATCACAGGTATGTGCTACTGTGCATGGCTCATCTGGTGTTTTGAGGTCCCACGATCTCCCTAGAGCAGGCAGGCTTGTTTCCTCATCTTTTGGGCAGTGGTGCCTGTGCTCAGTTCTTCCTCTTCAGAAGACACCCTTAGCAAATACATCCTCTGTGGCTTTAGCTCTCTAAAGCATGTGGCCCAGAACTGGGTCAAAGGGGTGACCATGCTAGGACTTTGAGAGCACGTTAAGTATAGCATTTACTCCAAGAGGTGGATGCTTTCCCCTGCTGGCCCCTGGGGGAGGGGGGTCATTATGGCTTCAGGCCTTCCAGAAGAGGTGAAGTGAGTGCACAGCAACACTTGGCTTTACAAGGTACTTCTCCCAGATTCTCAGCAGCTCAACCCAGCCAGCCCAGCTCAACCCTGCTGACCACGCCTGCTCTTTCAGCTCCACACTGCCACCTTGTGTCTCCATGGAGAACTCCAGGACACTTGAGCAGAGGGGCACCCTTACCCCCTGGTCATGGGGGCTGCTTGCTTCAGAAGATCACATTTCAATTTTATCTTGCATTGCCCATTGTCATTATCCCGAGGGAATACAGATGCTCCTGTATATTAAAGAGATTTATTAGTTTCACATTCCAGATCCGAGTTACCTGGTACAACCGGGGATAAATTTATACCCTCCCCCTCCCCCCATAAAAGCGCAGGCCTCGTCACCCTGGAAATTACCACCTGTGCTGAACAACATCAAAAGTCAGTCTGAGGAATCCCACAGTCAGCCAGCTAATAAGCCACATATGAAGCAACCTCTTCCCTACCTGCCCCTGACCTGTGCCTACATAACTACGTAAATCTCTCTCTCCTTCCCTCCCTCCCCCTCTGTCTCTGTGCTTGTTATATATTTTGAGAGGTTTCACTGTATAGCCCACATTGGCCTTGAACTCTCAAGCCTCTTGCCTCAGCCTCCTGATTCCTAGGATACAGGTGTGCATTGCCATGCTCAGCTCCTATACAGGTTTTCAGAGGCTGAAGTTCTGTACTTCACAATCCACAGGAGGGTGTGAACAGTTCACACAGTGCCCAGCCCAGAGGCAATGTTTTTCAGTGTCTTCAGGGATTAGCGGTCAGAAATCAGCCTGACCACAGAAAGCACAGAGTGTCTCTCTCTCACGTCCCACAGAGGCTTACACTCTCCCCCTATTAAGGCTCACCCTGGCTCAAGCTGACCCTGAGAACTTCTACAGCTCCAGCAAAAGCTGCCGTTCAATGATCCAGAAAGAGGTATCATTTCTTTCAGGAGGCCCCGGGCACAGACACAGGCCCCTAAGTCTTGAGGCCCAGTGTCTGCCTGCTCCCATTGGCCATACCACAGAACCAAACCAGCTTACTGGAATAGTTCAAGTGCAGCCTTTCCACAGGAGGAAGAGTGCAAGACCAAACAGCACTCCACCAGGAAATTCCCCTTGCAACATATTGGTACTGGGCTGCTACCCAAAGCAAGAGGTAGCCAACCTTCTCGGCACTTCTCCTCTCCTCTCTTACCTGTAGACACTCTGGACCCAGGCCTGGAAGTCACCCACCAGACGCAATTGGGAACCAGTCCATGGCTGTGCTCTGATGTCAGCAGAGGGTTCTATAAGCTACAGTCCTAGAAATCCTGCCCCTAAAGCAGCATGGCCGTTTCTACTTGCTCAGCTCCTGGGCAACTTGCTGCATTTGTGCAGCTAGACAAAGGGTGAGAGCTAGTAAGCTGAGGTTGGAGGAACTCAAATTTGAGGCCAGCCTGGGCTACATAGTAAGACCTTAGAAAGAGAGAAACAGAGACAGAGAAAGAGACAGAGAGAAACAGAGACACAGAGATAGAGTAGAAGAAGGGAAGGAAGAATGGATGGAAGGAAAACAAAGAAAAAGAATGAAAAAAGTAACAATAAGAAGGACACTGGGCTCTGGTGGCTCATGTCTATACTCCTAGGTACTCAAAAAGCTGATATCTCAGGATCACAGTTTGAAGCCAGCCCAGGCAGACAAATCCATGAATCTCTCATTGCCAATTTATCAGAAAAAAAAAAAGCTGGAACTGAAAATGTGGCTCAAGTGGTAGAGGCACAACCTTGAGTATAAAAATTAAGGGACAGCCAGGCGCCGGTGGCTCACGCCTATAATCCTAGCTACTCAGGCGGCTGAGATCTGAGGATCACGGTTCAAAGCCACCCTGGGCAGGAAAGTCTGCGCAACTCTTATCTCTAATAAACCTATCAGAAAACCAGAAATGGTGTAGTGGCTCAAGTGGTAGAGTCTCAACTTGAGCTGAAGAGCTGAGGGACAGCGTTCAGGCCCAGAGTTCAAGCTCCATAACCAACAACAACAAAAATTAAGTACAGTACCCAGGCCCTGAAGTTAAGCCCTAGTACTGGCACAAAAAAAAAAAAAAATCCAGGGATGTGCGTGTGTAAAGAGACTCAAACCCAAGTCTTTGGGGTGTGTGGCCAGTGTCTCTTCTACCTTATCATGCGTAATAACTATTTACCTGGCACTAAACAAGTCTTTACAGATATTTAGACAAGAAGGAAAAGCGGACAAGGCCAGGATTCTGCTCTGTCTTGCTCTCTCTCCCAACCACAGGGAGGATTTGGTGTCACCAATCTGAAGATGAAAGTGGTCAGTGCGGCCATCGTGGGACCCGCAGTCACCGTGATATAAGTCCTGGTTGCTGAAATCTATATGTGTTCCTCCGCTCGGCGCCTGCCCAGTGAGGGAGGATCCTAAAAGGGGAGAGCTGGAAAACCCTGGCGCCATCTCACCTGCTCTAAGGTGAGGAAGCCGAGGCCCAGAGAGCCCAGCGCCTTCCCCAGGCCGCACTGGACGCTTGACTCCAGCCTCTGCGAGAATCCTGCTGGTGGCTCGACAGAGCCTGAGATCATGCCAGCCTCTCTCCCAGACGCCTCCTCCACCTCCTCCACACAGCCCAGAGGACCGCTGCAGAGGAGGGAGGGTGCCAGGCCCACAGCCCAGGGAGAATGTTCTGGCTCTTCATTATTCTGTGGCCATTTTCACCTTATCCTCCCATCCTCATCCCCAGTGGGCCACACCACGGAAGATCCCCAAGACTTATGCCACCACCATGAGGGCTGATGGGGGGGAGCTTGCATTTGAAGAGTTCTTGCTCAGTACCAGGTGCCATGCCAAGGCATGGATTGCCATTAAATCATCTTTCTGCTGTGAATGGACACTGCAGATGAAGGTAGAGGCCTATTGAACATCCACCATCTTCCCTTGTTTGAGGTGGGATGAGTTGGTCAGATTCAAATAGGGCCAGGCACCAGTGGCTCAGGCTTGTAATCTTAGCTACTCAGGAAGAGGAGATCTGAGGATCCACAGTTCAAAGTCAGCCTAAGCAGACAAGTCTGTGAGCCTGTATCTATCTCCAACTAACCAGTAAAAAGCAGGAAGTGAAGGTGTGCCTCAAGTAGAGGTGGAAATGCCTTGAGCAGAAAAGGCTCAGGGACAGTGCCCATGCCCTGAGTTCAAGCTGCAGCAGTACAGAAGACAAAGACAAAGATGAAGATGAAGAGGAGGAGGAGGAAGAAGAGAGGAAGGGGGAAGAGAAAGAGGGGGAGGGGAAGGGAAGAAGGGGAAGGGAAGAAGGAGGAGGAAGAAGGGGGAAGAAGCGAGAGGGGGAGGAGGAAGAGGAGGAAGAAGACAGGTAGACAAAGCACTGATTTCTGGGCACCTGGGAGCCTCCAGTGGTGCCATCCTGACCTGGTCCTGGACCACCAGCTCCACCACCAGGCTTGTTCATGGGCACTCTGCGAATATCACCAGACCAGGGAGGCCAGCATTTGGTCTCCTGAGTCCCAGTGTCTGAGATTGGAGCCAGAGACAGCAATCGTCACAGCAGGGCAGCTGCGAGGCTGACGCTGGCACCGGCTCTGACCCTCCCAGTCTCTATGCCCAGAGCCCCCTCCAGGAGGGCGTCTCTAAAAGATGCCCGTCTCTGCAGTGGCCTCCCCATGCCCCTGCTCCAAGTCCTTCAGCGACTCTGCAGGCCCGGGCCGCCCGCCCAGGCTGAGGCTGAGGCTGAGGTTGAGGGTGGGCGGACAGCTGGAGCGCGTGAGCAGCGTGGTGTGGCGGGTGCACAGGCTGCCGTTGGAGAGCTGCCTGCGCAGCCGGGGCTGGAGAGGCCTGCAGCAGGGCAGGCAGCGCAGGGGCGGTGGCAGCAGGTGGCTGTTGAAGCCCATGTAGATCCAGGGGTTGCAGCAGCTGCTGAGGTTGCCCAGGAGCATGGAGATGGTGAAGGCCACGTTGGTGGAATCTGCTGAGAGAGAAGCACAGAAGAGATTGTGTGTGTGTGTGTGTATGTGTGTGTGTGTGTGCACACCATTCCTGAGGTTTGAACTCAGGGCCTAGGCAGTATCTCAGCTTCTTTACTCAAGGCTAGCACTCTACCACTTGAGCCACAGCTCTACTTCCAGCTTTTTGGTGGTTAATTGGAGATAAGAGTCTCACAGACATTTCTGCCTGGCTGGCTTCCAGCTTCAATCCTCAGATCTCAGCCTCCTAAGTAGCTAGGATTATAGGCGAGAGCCACCAGCAGTCAGCAAAATCATTCTGATTGACAGCTAGTAGGGACTGGGGAGAGATTCCAGGGGGGCCACTGAACAAATGAGGAAACTGAGGAGAGGTTCCTTAAGGGTTCTATGCCTGAAAAATGCACACAGTGGGGACGTGAACCTGGGACTCTGGAATCCAGAGTCTTATCTCACTGTTTTGTGGGATTTGAACTCAGGCTCTTACACTTGCAAGTCAGGTGTTCTACCACTTGTGTCACCCCTTCATGTCTTTGTTTGTTCTATAACTATAGAGTGAGAATAGGAGCTAAGATTTGCTTCAAGTTGACTTGAAAAATGTAAATATTGTCAAGGTGGGGGTAGGCACAGTGGCTCATGCCTGTAACTCCAACTACTTAGGAATTATAGGAGAAGGTTGTCCTTTGTCCAATCATTGAACACATGTGGGCACTGGGCCTATGCGGGGGACTGAGCGGAGGCACTGGGTGGAGCATGGCTGTCCTGCAGACCCCTCTGTCACCATGCCCCAGAGCAGAGCAGGGACAGTGTGTAGGTGCAGGCCATGGGGCGTCCATGTGTCCATGGTCCATTCCAGACCAGTGCTTGCTGCTGTTCTCACAGCATCTCTCTTACAGGGAACAATGAACTTCTCTCCTGGGCAGTGAAAATGGGAGGGGACAAAAATCTGATCAGATTCCTTCCAGAACAATCTTCTTTGAGAAGATAAATGGAACTATTCTTGCCCAAAGGAGTCCTGCTTGGACCCACCATGGTTAGAGCTCTGGCTTCTGGAGTTAGCTTGCTCTTCGGTGGAGATGGAAAGCAATGGCAGAACCAGAGGGAAGCATTTGGGAAATTTCTCAAATTTCATAGGCCAGTAAACAAGATCTGCTGCTTGAAACCGGCCACCCACTCCACCAGAATCTCAACTGCCAACCTCACAGCTGGTGTTATCCACCTAGTCTTCAGCCCCTGAGCAACCTTCTATCACCAGGTCTCTATGGGCCCAGCCAAAGTGTAGCCACTGGTGGCCCAAGACTAGAGAAGACATGGCGGAAGAGTAGCTGAGAGGAGGCACAGGGCATGGAAGGGGAAGCAGATGCCATCTGGGCTGCATGGACACATTGGTATGGCTCAGCCCAACTGAACCAGGTCTAGGTATAGGGGCAGGGGATGTGTCTCCAGAAAACTCCAGAATCTACCTTGAGGTTTAGATCCACCACACCCAGACTCAGAGCTGGGATGTCAAGAGGCCAGGAGCTGGCCAAGAAGCCAGTATGCTTCTGAGACCCCCTTCATCTCAAAAGAAAAAGCTGGACATGCTGACATGCACCTATCATACCCAGCTATGGTATCATGCCAGCTATGGTAGGGTCTACTGCAAAGAAGAGTTTAAGGTGGTGAATCTCAGCCCACAGGGTTTTTACTTTACCAAGAGAGCACTTTGCAAGATCCACCTTGGCCCCTTCAGGCCACACTCAGAGAAGACCTTGTTCAGCGTTAATCACTCTGCATGGACAAGGTGTCAGGGCCTGGCTGTGATGATGGTGGGCAGTACAGGCGAGCAGGGAGGGCTGCACTGGATGATCGACAACTTCCCAATCTTCTAGCTGACTCCTCAGTCAAGGGCAAATGGCCACCTCATTTCTGGTACCCTTGGGTAAGCTGACTGCTGGGTAAGTTCATGGTATAGAGACAGGCTGGCCTATAAAAACCCTGATTCAATCCCAGCTCCGGATCCTCCCAGCCTAGCCTTTTAGAACAGCTATTTATTTTAGCTCTCTGAGGTCCAAGGACTCTGATGTACTGACTAGCAGTGTGAGGACTCAATGGGCTCAACACTCAGAAGCCCCTCCTTCTGCTGGTCCCTGCTAGTATTCTGGCTTTAATATACTCATTACTTATAAAGTAGTTTTTTATTTTTTATTTTATTTTAATGATGCTGCATAGAGGGGCTACAGTTACAAGAGTAATGCAATGAGTACATTTCTTGTCAAGCATTGTTACTGCCTGCCTTGTTCTCCCACAATCCCTTCCCTCTCCTCCCCTCCTCCACCCCTGCTAATATTTTTTTTTCTTAAAGGATACTTTGCAAATAGTTTCATGTCTAGACTGATATAAAAGTGGTGGTTCAGGAGAGACAAGACCAGATATGGGCACCTGCCTGAAGTCCCAACATTTGGGAGGTAGAGGCAGGATTATGAGTTCAAAGCCAGCCTGAGTTGCATAGTGGGACTATCTTAGAAAAACAAGGGCTGGAACTGGACACCAGTGTTTCATGCCTATAATCTTAGCTACTTGGGAGGCAGAGATCAGAAAGGTTTCAGTTCAAGGCCAGCCCAAGTCACAAGTTTTTGTTTTTTTGTCAGTTGTGGGGCTTGAACTCTGGGCCTGGGCGCTGTCCCTCAGCTCTTCAGCTCAAGGCAAGCGCTCTACCACTTGAGCTACAGCGCCACTTCCGGTTTTCTGGTGGTTTATTGGAGATAGGAGTCTCACGGTCTCTCCTGCCCGGGCTGGCTTTGAACCGCGATCCTCAGATCTCAGCCTTCTGAGTAGCTAGGATTACAGGCGTGAGCCACCAGCGCCCGGCCAAGTCACAAGTTTTTGAGAACCATATCTCAACAGGAAAACCTGAGTCATAGTGTTATATGCACCTATCATCCCAGTGATGGTAGGAAGTCTAAAAAGGAGGATCATAGACCAGGACGTTTCCAGGCGGGAAGTGAGACCCTATCTCAAAAACAACCAGAACTGGAGAGGGACTAGAGGAATACCTCAAGTAGTATAGTACTCCGTTCTGTCTCATACTGTAGGAGGATGGCCTCTCTCCTTTGGCATCCATGTTTAGAACCAGGTTTGTGGGCAGAACATGAGGTTGTGGAAGGAAAAGGAGGCAGGAGACCTGGGTGCTGAGTGGTCTTGGGCCAATCAGGGCTTCTCCCTGGCTCAGTGAAGAGGCTGAGCCTGTGGTCTGGTGTTGTCCTAATGAATTAGAAGTGGTTATTAAGGGGAGCTCAAAGTCACATCCAGATACAGGAGGGAGGCGTGCCAAGACAGACATTCCTGGGCCATGAGAATTTGAAAAATCTCTTGTGAAAGTTCAAAGCCCATCTAGCAAACTGGAAGGCGGTTGGGCATGTCTGCCAAAAGTTGCATTTCATTGGCATTGCATAGTATTTTCAAATTGTTAAACTAGTTACCAAACTTTAAAATTCCAGAAATTTCACACAAAAAGTATTTACACTGCCTGGGTAAGCTGAGGGGGCAGCATTGTCCCTTCACATGAGACAGTACCATAGTTCTGGTGTTATTCCCTGCCCCCCACCCCCGCCCCGCCCAGCTCCCAAACTCACATGTTGGAAATGTAACTCCCCAAGTCCTATGGTAAAGACTCTTGCAAGAAGATTTTGGGGAGGTGACGGTGTCATAGGAGCTCTGCCTTCATGAACAGAGTCATCTAATCATGATCGTGGTTAATAAAGCAGTAGATTTATCATAAGCATGGCCCTGTTGCCAAGTGTCCAAGTACATGCTTGCAGGATGAGCTACTTAGAAGGCAAAAGGAGGAGGCTAAAGAGTTCAAAGCCACCCTAGGTAAATTAGTGAGACCCCATTTCAAACAAAATAAAAACAAAAAGGCTAAATAGCTCAAGTGGCAGAACACTTGCTTAGAAAGCTGGAGGCCCTGGGTTCAATCCTCAGCACTTCCCTGTACCACCTTGGGTCTCTTCAGGAGTCCCTGCCAGCAAGAATGCAGCCCCCTGACCTTAGACTCTACAGCCTCAAGAACAGTAAGAAATAAATTTCTTTTCTTTATACATTGCTCAGCCTCTGGTATTTAGTTACAGCAACAGAAAATGGACTAAAACAAATAAGTACCTGTTTTTGTTTTTGTTTTTTTTTTTCTTCTCTTTTCTTTCTTTTTTTTTTTCTTTTGTCAGTCATGGGACTTGAACTCTGGACCTGGGCACTATCCCTCAATTCTTCAGCTCAAAGCAAGCTCTCTACCACTTGAACCACAGCGCCACTTCTGGTTTTCTGGTGGTTAATTGCAGATAAGAGTCTCATGGACTTTCCTGCCCCAGCTGGCTTTGAACTGCGCCATCCTCAGATCTCAGCCTCCTGAGTAGCTAGGATTACAGGTGTGAATCATGGGCGCCCAGCTGCACCTGCTTTCTTAATTGCTTCACTCATTTGTCACCTGACCAACCTGGTAGGCACAGTGACCTGTCCCATGGCCGGCCCATCCTCCATCCCTTCCCTGGCCCTCCCAGTTCCCCGCAGACCACACACTTGCCTTCATCAGGTGCATTCTCATCCCACACAGACCACATCTGGACGCTGAAGAAGGGTGCCCAGCAGGCGATGTAGGCCAGCACGATGACAAATGTCATCTTCACAGTTCGGATCTTGGCCCGAGAGATGGTGCTGATGCTGCTGACCCGGGATGGCAGCCCCCGACAGGCAGCGGGGGAGGAGGGGAAGGGTTTATTCCATGTCCTCCAGCCTCCCGCTTCCTCCCTTCCAGCCTGTGTCTTCACTTTGAGGTTCTTACAGATCTCCTGGCAGATGAGGCTGTAGCAGGCTGTGAGCATGGCCACAGGCAGGACGAAGATGGCCAGTGTGGTCCAGGTGATGTAGGCTCGTGGCCCCCAGGGGGAGTGGAAGTGTGCCCAGCAGTCCAGCACCCCTGTGCCCTGGATCACCTCTCGCAAAGAAAAAATGAAGACTTGAGGAAGGCTGAGGATGGCCGCCAGCAGCCAGGGCGCAGCGATAAGTGGGTAGGTAGACTGGCTGGGCTGCTGGAGGCTGCGCAGGGGGTGACAGACGGCCAGGTACCGGTCCAGAGTCATGGCCAACAGCATATAGGTGGAGGCGAACATGCTGAGCACCTGCAGGTACTTGACAGCCCGGCAGAGCAGGTCAGGACCCTGGAAGCGGTAGGTGATATCCCAGAGCAGCTGCGGCAGCACCTGGAAGAGTGCCACGCCCAGGTCGGTCAGGGCCAGGTGCAGCACGAACAGGTGCATGCGAGATCGCTTGCGGCTGGGCAGGCCCAGGGTCAGTAGCACCACCAAGTTGCCTCCAGTGGCCAGCACCAGGACAGTAGCCAGAATGCCAATCTCTACCTTGGCTAGTTCCTCATCCCGGCCCAGCCAGGGGGTGGTGGCATTGGGGACAGACAGTGTGCCCCTGGGGGTGGGGTTGGCAGCCCAGGAAGGCTCAGAGCCCATGGTCCAGGAGGAAGGAGGGATGGAGAATGTGGACACAAGGGTAGAATGAAGGGGAGGGAAAGGAGGATTCAAGATGGGGAGAAGGAAAGGTGGGAATAGTTCAGAGCACAGAGATGGGGAGGAGGAGGGAGAATGAGAAGAGTATAACACGAAGCTGAGATCCCTGATCGCACAGATCCCACGGGGGGGGGGGCGGGGCAAGAAGGACGGGACACAGGGCATCCAGATGGGAAGAACTCAGGGGGGACGATGCAACTGCCACTTCCCCAAGTTCACTTCCTCCAAACTCCCATGGAAGTGGAGAGCAGATGCTGGACCGCAGGCTTGAAGCGGGAGTCTGAGGCCACCGATCACCCCTTCCTGGCGGCAGGGAGGCAGCAGGGGCGTTTTATGGGCTGGCGGTGGCCAGGGGGCCAGGCCTGGGTTGGCTCTTGCAGAGGAGGGCGGGGCACTACCAGGCAAGAGGGCGGGAGGCTGGCTGGGGGAGGGAGAGGCGCAGACAGGGAGGAGGAATCATGGGGGTGACACAGGGACAAGCCAAGGACAGAACAAGTCCACATGGAGCCCCGGCAGCACGCTGCAGAGGGGACCCATCTTCTCTGCCTGAAGGCTGGAGTCTCCACGCAGGTGCACTCGGGGGGGGGGGTGAAGTGAATCATGTATTCCCTCTTCCTACCTCCACGGGGACATTTAGGGGCTCTGCCCTCCTCCTCCCTCCCTCCCCCACCCCTGCAGGGCTCCCACGTAGGCTTAGAGGATTCCCAAATCTTCAGGGGGGTCCAGGTGAGCTGAGCAGTGACCCCAGGCGGAGTCCCACTGCCTACTGGACAGCTGAGGGACTTGGAGCTTCAGGAAAGGAAGAAAACAGGGGGACGCTGTTGGAGGGGGATGAGGGGGGTGGGAGGAGCTAGACTTGGGATCTCTGCTGTGCTCCAACCTGACCTGAGTATCTGTCATGAAATCCTGACCTCAGTTAGCAACCATCCAGCCATGAAGAGGGTATGTAACTTCTAGAAGATTCCCAACTGTCAAGTGCAGAGGCAGGCCCAGAGGGAGCCAGGGCGCCCTTCCAGCAGTGGCACCTGCCAAGCCACCTTCAACTTGACCATCAAGTGTGACAGGCACCATGGGAGGCTCAGCTGGTGGGGAAGGTGGCTGTGGCTGTGGCAGGGTTGAATTCACATACCCTCGGTGGGCTTAGAACAGTCCTTAGGAGTGACAATAGGGAGGTGCTAGTGTCTCCCAGAGTCCCATTACTGTAGACCCTTTAGTCTGGCCATTCATCAAACTCCATTCGATCCCCTTTGCAACCCCCCCCCACTCACAGATCCTATTAGCATCATTTCTGGAAGGTTCTACCTCCTATATAGCTTACAACCTCTTCTTTTGTGCTCTGCAGCCCAAGCTTTTACTTTCTCCAGGATTTCGCATCTAAGGGGCAGTTACTTTCAGTCTCTCCAGCAGATTACCTATACGTAAACATTGCTCATTAATGACACAACTCAGGCCTGTCACCTGGTCAACAACAATCATAAGACTCTATGGATGAGAAGAAGAAGAAGAAAAATTTGTCCCTCCCTGACACCAAAACCCCACCTGCAGCCAGTCAACCCCACCCCCTTCACCTCAGGACTTCTTAAAGGGTGGCGGTTTACCTCCATTTTCTTGCTCCAAATCACTTTTTCTTTGTTATCTTCCCTCCTCTCCCCTCCCCTCCTATCTCCTGCCTCCTCTTTCCCTTTCCTGACAGGGTCTTGCTGTGTAGCCCATGCAGACATCACACTCAAAGTCCTCCTGCTTCAGCCTCCCAACTGCTGAGATTACAGGCTTGTGCCACCACAACCACCTCCATTCAACCATTTTTATAGTCATTTCAAACTATACACATATACAACTTTTAAATATTATATAAATTGTTCATATTATATTAATTATAACGTATCATGTTATATATAACATACATTATTTAATTCTAACATTTTAATTTACATATGTTATAAATTATATATATAATTTTTAAATATTATATAAATATGATTATGGAACTTTCTTTCTAAGTTCTTCATTATTATTTTTTTAAGCTGCCTGTGGTGATACATAAAATAGATCTAATTCATTCATTGTAACTGTGGCATAGTATTCAAGCATGTGATTATAATACATTTCAGTTATCCAGAACTCTATTTGTAGACTTTATTCCCAGTATTTCCCACTATTTATTATTATGTGGGTATATATTTTTATTTTTATATATAATAGTTATATATGTTTATGAGTAAAATAGATGCTTTACATTGTATATGGAAATAGACATGTTAAGATGAAGCCCCAAAATCTGTTCTGCTGTTGGTAAATGATTTTGGATAATCTAGGCATGCAATTTTGTCTGCAGAGAATGATAGTTTGGGGGGTTATTTATTCTCAGTCTGTGTAGCTCTGATTTCTTTTGTTTGTCTTATCATGAAGACTCCAGTGCAGGGTTGAAGAGCAGGAATTATGGTGTTTCCAGCTCTAATGAGACTGCATCTAAGCGCTCAACATTATACATATGTTTATGGTAGGTCCTCAGAACTTGTAAAATTAAAAATAGACCATTTTTACGTGTAATAGGTTGATTCGACTGTGGCTATTAAGAGTAAAAGGAATCCCCCACTTCCTTCATTCCCAGCCCCCTAGACAAAGCTAATAGTTTTCTCCCAAATAAAAATTTAATCACTTACAAAAAAAAGAGAGAGAACAGAGGGAAAAGCCTAAGGAAACACTGTTTCCATCAACAACCTTCACAGTTATCCACATAGGGCCAATCCTGTTCACCTAGGTCTTCAACCCCCTCCACCCCAAGCTCATTGTGAAGTAATGTCATATATCATGTCAGATCAGTTCATTTGTAAGTATGTTGTATATTTATCCTAAAGGAAAAGAACTCCTAAATACAACAGTAGCGTGTTACCAGCTCTGTATTAATCAGGGTTCTCCAGAGAAACAGAACAAAGAATGTGAGTCTGTGTGTACATGAGTGTGAGTATGTGTGTGTGTGTATGTGTGTGTGTGTGTGTGAGAGAGAGAGAGAGAGAGAGGGAGAGAGAGAGAGAAGAAAGAGGAGAGAGAGACAAACAAGCCAACAGAGGGGCTTGCAATGTTGTTATTGAGGAAATCGAATTATTTTATCCTGTAGAATTTCCTGCAATCTGTATTTTGAGAATTGCATCTGTTTCCCAGGATGCATGTCAATATTTCATTCCTTAATATATTCCTATTTTTGCTACAGTGGTTAAGCTCAAAATCTTGCCTGGATTACTATTGGCCAAAGGAGAGCCAAAAGGTGTCCCTCCTGGGCCACTCCATGACCAGGGTGGAAGGCCCTTCCCCGTCTCCACAGCCTCTGGGTACCCAGGTGCTGGGGCCTTTTCATGGTTAGGGAAGTACATCCATCTCCAATGGTGAGTTGCTTTGCAGAGTTGACATTGCACAGATGCCTGGCCCCTTCTCTGAAGCTGTCACCTACCAGGTGCCAACCCTCCTGCCTTCTAAGGGCACACCTGATGCACCTGTCCATAAATGTCCTGATGGAGGAAGTGGTCTGGGAAGATGGGCCATTACAGGGACTAATGCATCTTTTATAGCCAAGAGCAACCCTTAGACTGCCACCATCTTCTGTTAGCTTAGTTGAATCCTGAGACTAGAGAACAAAGAGATAAACAGGAGAGTAGGTTGGAGGGCCATTCTAACTGGTTTTAACTTCAAAAAAATCTCTACTTAGTGAAGCTGTGGCTCAAAGTGGTAAAGCACTAACCTTGAGCATAAAAAAGCTCAGGGATAGCACCTAAGCCCTGAGTTCAAGCCCCACAGCCCACAAACACACAAAAAAGTACTCTGTGCCAAGGACTGGGGGCTCATGCCTATAACACTAGCCACTCAGGAGGCTAAGATCTGAGGATCGTGGTATGAAGCCAGCCCTTGCAGGAAAGCCTGTGAGGCTCTTGTCTCCAAGAAAAAGCTGGAAGTAGCACTGTAAATTGGTACTGTGGCTTAAATGGTAGAGTGCTAGCCTCAAGCAAAAGAAGCTCAGAGAAAGTGCCCAGGTCCTGAATTCAAGTCCCAAGACTGGCCAAAACAATAAAAAATAAATAAACAACATTAATATCTTCTATTTGTATAACTTTTTGGAGTTGAAAAGGTAGTTTGAACATTCATTATCTCATTTAATTCTCATCATAGTCTTTCCAAGTGGCTATTTCAGTCCCAAAGTGAAGGACACAGAAGTCCAAAGAAGCTAATTTCTAGGGCAAGGTCACAAGGGACATAAAGATCTCCATAAAGACAGCATGCTTTGGGGTCTCCATCAAGAAAACCATGCTGAGAAGTCATGAGTGCATGAGAAGCAGGCATCTTCTTCTCACCCTCAAGTCCCTGCTGGGGTCCTTTCCAGTCCTCCAGAACTTAAATGTGGACAGGCTCTCCCAGAGTACCCAGCCCACTGGCTCCCTAAGTGAGCGGGGGACTTCCCTAAGGCGCTTCAGGAGCTGCCTTGGGGGCAAAGGGAAGGCCCAGCAAGTGGGGTCATAAAATTAGCCCTTCCTCTGGGTGAAGCAATTGCTTTTGCTTAGAAGAAGACCTAACAGACTGCTAGGAGACAGAGGTGAGCACCTGATGGCTTGGTCTGCAAGGGAGCAGGGAACAGATGGTTAAAGCACTCGACATCAATAGGTGAGTTTGGAGCAGTGAAAATTGGAAAGAGGGAAAAAGGGGTGGGGAGAGTCAGAGGGGGAGGACAGAGAAGGGGAGGAGGGAGAGGGGAAAGAAGGAGAGAGGAGGAGAGGCAGGAGGAGGGGAAGAAAGGAAGAAGGAAGAGGAAAAGAGGCAGGGGAGAAAGGACATGGTGGGGAGGAGAGAGAGGGAGGGCGGAGGGAGAGGGTGAGGGTTGTGGCTGCAAGCTGGTGCCAAGTCAGCAGAAATGGCACCTGGGCTTTTTAAGAACGGAGAAGTCTAATTTTAGCAAT